TGAGAGGTGATTGTAAGTCACTGAGTTTGTTGAGAAATTATTATGGTTGGGCTGTATTATCATGAATTACATGAAATATTATCATATTAAAGCTGAGTTATATGTTTAAGTAGGTAGACATGTAACAGTTAAAAAACATGTTGAGATGTGTTGTATATATAGATCTACATACTGGGATGAGTCGTTCTTAGATCGGCAAATTATAAGTTCCTTTTAGATTAATTAAGTTGTGAAACCAGTTGGAACTGAGCTATTGCATTTATATTAGATGGACAATGAGTTAGCCAAAATTGTTGTATTGCTTATTGATAATTATAAAAGTTGTATAACTACTTATATTATATTTTCATATTTTGTGATCATAATTGTTGATTTTTTAAGCTCACCCTTGCATTTTCTGTCTGTATTGGTATGTTGTGTGTATTGTAACTGAGCTATTGCATTTACATTAGATGGACTAAAAGTTAGCCAAAATTGTTGTATTGCTTATTAATAATTATAAAAGTTGTATAACTACTTATATTATATTTTCATATTTTGTGATCATGATTGTTGATTTCTTAAGCTCACCTTTGCACTTTCTGTCTGTATTGGTGTGTTGTGTGTATTATAATGATCGTATAGTGGTACGTGAGTAAGGATGACAGACAATGCTTATACTTCACATACTAAGCGACAAGCTAAAAAGTGAGAGGAATGAAGTGACATTCTTTTTGAATCAGTAGTTTTCTTTGAAAAATTTATAATTTAAGCCTCAACTATGAGATTGAGTTATTTAAGTACAAATTTGAGTATGAATTGTAAATACTTGAAAATATTATAAATTTATACTTTTAGCTCCATATTGAGTAGTTTTTTTTACATATATACTTATAAATTATCAATAGATAAATATGGTTATAAATTTTATAAGAATGCTCTTTAGGCTTTACTCCACTATTGAAGTACTGAGTTTTAATTCTTATATAATTTATATTGAATTGAATATTTTGATCGAATTTATTTCAGTGGATAAATTTGTATAGAATATATATATATATATATATATATATATATTAAATATAATATTATTGATTCTTTTAGAACATGGTCATGACACCAAATAAAAGACCAAAGATAAAACGAGATAAAAAAAACTTATTTAATTTTACATAAAAAAATTCTTTAAAATAGAATAGATAAAGTAGATGAATGACTTTTTGCTAACTAAATTGTCTTTAGTGAAATAAAATTACCAACAGATCATGGTTTAATGATTGCAACCTAAATTCTAAAAATGCAAAAAAAAATTAAATATTTTTAATGCTAAAGTTATAAATATTGTTACTCTATGATTAATCTTATTATTAAAAGTAAAGTAGTTTAATGACTTTTTCCATCCAAATTAAGGTTAATTGTAATTTTTATTTCACATATTAAAGTATAATTTAATAAAAAAAATCTCTTAAATATTATTGTATAACATGATTAAATTTAATTGTTTAAATTATCTAAGATAAATATTTGAATTTAAAAAAAAAAGTAATGTTGATTAAGGATTGATACAATTTATATTGAGATTTTTAAGTGACTCATTTCAAATTTCAAGTGTGTCCATTACATGAGCACTAAATTAAGAAGTATAAGATAACTTTAAATGAACTAGTTTAGAAAATTTAGGCCCCACAAATTTCTCTCCAACTTTATATTTTAATCATATCCTTACTTACACTGTTAGAATGTTGTAAAATAAAGAGGTCAACATTTTCATTTTAAAGGGTATTATATGTAATCCTTTAGATTAATATTTTCATTCAAGTAGACATATTAATTATGTTTAATAATTTAAAAATAATTTGATTCAATTTTAAAGTTTACAGGTATTATGACTATTGAGTTAATTTAAGTGAATTTAATAAATACTACTTAATATGCAAATTTTAGCTTAAAATACCTAGAAAAAACACAAGACTTATTCTCCAATTTAAAGGTTGAAACATTCTTTTGCAAAAGAAATGATAGTTCTTGTACTTTTTTTTAATATTAAACTCATTCAAAAGAAATGAATTGAGTTAAATTAAGTGAATTTAATAAATAATATTTAATGCAAATTTTAGTTTAAAGAACCTAGAAAAAACACAAGACTTGTTCTCCAACTTAAAGGTTGAAACATTCCTTTCCAAAATAAACGATAGTCCTTGTACTTTTTTTTTTTAAATATTAATTCACTCAAAAGAAATGAGAGTCTTTATATTTATTTTTTAATATTAATTCACTCAACTTTGTTAATTTTAAATCCAAGTAATATATCGTGAAGCCTTTAATAAAGAACAATTTCATCATTCTCTCATTTATCCCATTTTAAAGAAATGATAAAATTGATTTCAAAACTTTTACTGTATACAACAAAATTCAAGAATATTATAGGAAATATTGTCTTTATGTATGCTTATATTTATATCTTATTGCAAATAATACATTTTAATAATAGTAACATAGTAGGTTTAATAAAATCAATCATTCATGTTCCTATATGATGAACCTCTCTTAGAGGAGGTGGAGTGCTAAGGACACATAATGGGGCTTGATAAGAGGTTTCACAACCTATTACAACATATGGGAGATTCTCTTAAAAAGGATTGTGAGAAATAAAGGATAACTTATTTTTGGAATGGTTCATGAGATACAAAAGTGTGTAATGTGAGATTATATTAAGGAATTTTGTAACATGCCTTGACAAGTATGCATCAATTATATCTTTCACAAAGTGAATACGTGTGCATACTATATAGCTACACTAGAAATGAAAGAGAGAATAAGCAAGAGTTGGAATACACATTTTTTCATGTTTCTTGGATTGTCAAGTGAACAAGTATCAGTATTGCCTTATGAAGAGGCAAAATTATAGACTGATTATGACATGTGGCAAAGAGCCCCATGGTTATTACGTACCCTTTTCTCTTTCCCTTTTTGCCATTTATGTTCATCCTCTTCTCATTCCTCTCTTTTTGATATTTTGTCAACATTTTTTTTTTATTCTTTTCAATTTATGCTAAGGTGTGAAACTTATTTGTGCATTATTATTTTAAAATTTATAATTTGAGATTTTATAAAAAAAATATAATTATTGTTTGTATGGTGAGAAGAAATTTTGAGTTATTCAATTGCATAACGTTGATTAATATTTTATATTACTACACAATTAGTGACAACAATATATACTATGTAATTTAGAATGTTTGTTTGTAAATATAATATTATTGTTATAATTAGTACTTGTTAAACTTAGACTAATTTTTATAATAATATTGATTAGTTGTAAAATGATTTATTTATTTATTATTTTAGTTAATACGTGACAATATTGCTCTTACGCTCCAAGGACATATATTATTATGATTAAGTCACTTGACATTCTTTACTCAATTACAAAATAATTTTGATATATTTTCATTGCTTAATGTTTTGTAGTTATTTTAAAATGCTCTTTAAAGTTAAATAGTTGGTCAACATATAATGTATCTCTTTCCACCCATAATATAGAGTCATGCAAATATAAAAATTATATTTCTTGATTAGAATATTTCTTGATTTAAATGTCACAAATATTTATTAGTTTTTGTTGATTGTGAATTCTTATCTTAATATAATGTATATTAAAATTTGAATTAAAATCACCATTTAAATTAATATCAAAAGAATTGTTTAATGAAATTTTTCATCCATCTTTATTGTCATCATTTGTATCTTCACCATCAAATCCATGTAATTACTTCCTAAAATTAAATTCTCATGACGTTAAATAAATTTTAAACAAAATAAGTTATAAATAATAATAATGTGAACAATGAGTATACTACTTTTAGTACATACTTATCATTTTTACTAACATTATCATATGACAATGATAAATTTAAGTCAAATAATTGGAACAGAACTAAAAAACTTTCATCAAAGACAAAATCTTCATAATTCAATTACAATTTTTTCATGTTACTAGTATTCACTTATAATGCAATTAATGTCATCATTATTACGTATATCTAAAATTAAAAATTATCGACCACTTGTTTCAACCAAAAATTATTAAATAAATTTACAAATAATATAATTATTAGACACTTTAAAGTCTTACATTAATCTTTCTTTTTACCATTTCTATATTTATATCATTATTATATAAATCAATTTTTTATCTGTAATACTCTCATTTTCTTTATAGTTTACCATTTCAATATACAATATCACAATTTCATTCATTTTGCATTTTAAAAAATTATAACTAAATTTAATTTATTTCATTTTACATTTAGTTGAGACACATCTTTATTATCTAAAAATTATTTAAATTATAATATTATAAGTATTACTAAAAAATATAATTATTAATACAAATAATATAATTTTTTAATTGATAAGAAGATATGAAATATCTAACTGAATACTATAAAACAATTAATAAATAATAATAATAATAAATTAAATGATTAAAAAAATTACTACTTGAAGTTGGTTGAAATGTTTAAAAAATATTATAACTAAATAAAAATAATTTCATATCACATTTACTTTAAACATATCTTTATTATATATAAATTATTTAAATATAACATATTAAAAGCATTACCTAAAACTATAATAATTATTATAAATAATATTATTTTTAGTTGATAAAAAGAGATAAAATTTATTAATAAATACAAAAAAATTAATAAATAAGAATAACAATAAACTAAATAATCAATAAAATAATTAAAAAAATACTAACTTAAAGTTTGTTGAAGTATTTAAAAATATTATAATAAAATTAAAATTATTTCATATCACATTTATTTCAAACTCATCTTTATTGTATATAAATCATTTAAATATATAATATTAGAAGCATTACTTAAAACTATAATTATTATTACAAATAATATTATTTTAAAATTTATAAAAATAGATAAAACACATGACTAAATAAAACAAAATAATTAACAAATGATAATATATATATATATATATATATATATATGGCTGAAATTAATAAAGTGGTCCCTTAACTCGAGTTTGTTTCAATATTTCTCTCTCTAACTTTTTTTTCTTCTCATTTTAGTTTCATTAATTGGAAAAATGTTTTAAATAAATCCTTTTTCGTAAAATATGTTAACTCTCTTAAAAGATGTCTTCTTCATTCAGATGACCTCCAATATATTTCTGATAAACTTTTTTTTTCCCTTTTCTTATCTCTCATTCACGTCTCCACGATTCGTTTCCTTCCTCCTTTGAACATCCAACAAAAATGTTATCTTTTCTGCTCCTCCTCTTGCCCTTTATCTATTCCCCTTCCTCCTTGAACTTAAAAAATAAAAAATAAAAAAATCTGATGAATTTTTTAGTTGGATCTTGAGTTCATCTATTATGTCAGGCATAAAGAAACTTCTAAGAAATGTTCACAAGCATAAGAAGAGGACCGAGCAATCCACTACCAAATCCCACATCTTTGATTCTTCAGAACATGTTCATATTTCTTCTCTGGAACTTCTGAAAATGCTCAAACAAGTTATGTTTCTCATCTCAATTTCTTTCTTCAGTACATTAATGCACTTTCTTTTCCTTTTATTTTTTTTAATAAATCAGTGCCCTAATCGATAAAATTCGAAACCCTAATTTTATATAAGAAAAGTTAATGTACCTGTGGAAGTGATGAGTTTGATGTTGGAGAAGTTTGTAGATGAGAATATTGTGTGTGTTAAGTCTTTGTTATGTCTTAAAGTGGTACAGGTGTTAGTGTTAAAGTTATTGGAGTGATTAGTTTTTCTAGAGGCAGTGAAGTAGTAGATGAGAGCGGCAATCAAAAAGTTCGCTGAAATATCATAGGAAACAAGTACTGATTGTGTAATGGGTAAGACTAATATTTCTCATACAAAAAGAGATATTAGTATTGCACATTACAAAGACAATATTACTTCCCTTATTGACTCATGGTTAGATCCTAATCGTTTAAACAAATATCACATTCTACAAATGTGAAACACAGTTAATAGGTGACATGTGTCAGCCTCAGAGGAAGTATCATATTTGAAAGAGGCAATATATTTTCTTAAAGTATTGTATCCAATGAAACAAAAAAAAAAGACGACGACAAAATTAGTTTCAAAATAATAGTTTAGGAATTCATTTTTTATAAAGCATTTATTTGATAAATAAGCCTTTGGCTAGAATAATTGCGATCCTTATTTTTCTTTTTTAGTTCCCGTGTAAAAAAGAAAAAATCTCTTTTGTATGCTTTAGTCTTTACATATTAATTATATAACCACTTGACCATATTATATTCTACAATTTTTCGGTGTTGAGTTTTTAATTCATTGTTGACATTGAATTAATTAGCACATAGATGATACACTAGAATTAGTAGAAAAATAAATAAGTACTTGTTCTGTTTCTATTTAAGAGATACCTTTCAAAAGATAGTTAATATACTACTTATCATTTCAAGTTTACCTGTGTAAAACGAAACTCTATTGTCATGTTAATTTTAGAGAAGGCAGAAGTAGTTTGATATTCATGAAGCGTAAATATGAACAATATAATAATAAATACTGCTAAGAATTCATAAAAAGTTTTATATTAATGGAAGAACCGTAGAACCCAAAACAATAGTTATTATGTGATAATGTTAAAATGATGCGTAAAGATGAAAAAATGACTATTGAAAATTTGTTGAAGAGCTAAAGATAATGGCATGACTAATTATAATTTGTGATAATTTACAAGTTACCATAAACTAATATATTGTTATTGATTATGAATTAGTTAATAGTTTACATTGGTTAAAATTTGTTCAAAAGAAAACTAAAAGGATGATCTACTAAGGAGTAAATGCAAAATTTCCTTAAATGAAAAAATGAGGCAAGTTCAAGAAATTTAAGCGACGTCTGAAGATTTCCCATCTCACTTTTTATAGGTCGAAATTTCTAAAATATGCAACTTTAAATAGATTATTAGGGCCCGTTAATGATACTAGTTAAATAAATAGAATAATTAATTTATTATTTTTCTTGAATAACAGCAGCTAATCTTTACACTCATTTATTCTTTGTCCACTTTCTTATAAACTCTCTCCCCTTGTGATTTCTCTTCGCTTTTTGAAAATAATGGTAAAGATTTGAATGGGGAAAATGTTAAAATTATCTAATTTTTTTAGATTCCAATCAATTGTAATATAAGTTTTTATTTTTAATAAAAATCGGTTAATTCATATCCAAAAAAGTAAGCTCATTAATTATGTAAAACTATTGGTTTGGACTTAGATATATGTAATTTCTTAGTGTAAGTTGAAGTGTAAGGGAACTAGTATTAATACATACATGTACCAAAGATCAAATTAAAACAACTTTACGTACCAAAGACTGAACATGGTTACAGATCCACTACATTGCTCAATGGAACCAGCTAAAAAATAACTCTGGGAATTACTAAATGCGAAGTGCTTAAGTAGGTGGTAACAAAAGCAGAAGCTCAACCTGAATGAATGTGCTCTTTGCAGTCATCGACCTCAAGGATTGATGTCATGTTCCCACAAGTGTAATAAATATGGTAACCAACTTTTGATCCAGCAATGAGGCACTATAAATCAACCATTTACCACCACGTCTGAATAACAAAAACAAACTACATGACAAAGTATTTACATGATCTGTTACATCCTTCCATAACCAGCTGGTGAGCTCTAGCAATCAGCTTCAAGTTATTGGTATGGTTAAATTGTTCAGATATGTCCTGTAAAAGCAATATACATTAACAATCAACAAAAAGTAATGATGACAGGTAAAACAATATACACAACGAACTGGATTACCTGGCCAAAGGTATATCCAGGTCCAGCACCTTTAGGAGGGATGTGCCAACCCCAACGATCATCTGGATCAGACCATAAAATGACACATGGGTCCCTCATGAGTCATGAGGAACTTCTAACACTCGATCAAAATTTCAAATGTTATCAAGGGTTTCAATAGATGGTGACAATATTTCAGATTCAAGTATTTCAATCCACAAAAGAGAACATGTCACTTTAGCAAGATTGATTTATTGAAAACTTGGAAAACAAAGTGAAATATGTGAACTGCAATTGATTAGGCAGTATATCATGAAGCTTACTGAAAAAGTATCAAGAGTAAGAAGCATCAGGAGCATGTTCTTCAGAGCAGGGAAACAAGAAATAAAGACACAACTCAAAAGAAGCCTGCTTAATCAAGAGTACCAAGATCGAAGTGTACAAGGAGCTGAGAACAATGACAATCTAACGAACATGCTAACAACCCCAAAAAGACAAAAACAAAATATCCTACAGTTCTTTCCAAAATTATGTAATAGTATACTAACCAATGCTGTAAACGGAAAGTAGTCAAACAAATTGGTAAAGATCTTCCAAACGTTACCACTACCATACCTGAACATCAAATAAGAATATTCAATACAGGATTGCAAAACTTTGAACATGGAAATTTTGAAGGAAACAAAAAATATGAAGGCTTAAAAATGGGAAAAAAATACCAAACACAGAAGAATTAAACATCAGCAAAAGGCCCAATCAATTAAATGAGATGAATTGCCAATTGACTTGCACTAAAAATTTGATTTGATATATTTTATAACTGTATAATGAATACAAGAATTTGGGTCTCCTTCTATTTACTATCGGAACAATGTCATAAGAGAGAAAAGAACAAAAGTAACAATCCTTAAATTTGTTTAGTTCTTTCATTCTCACAACATGGCACAATCGTGTTAGTAAGTAGCATTGCAGGATTAGTATTGTATTTATCATCATTTAGCTCATACCAGTGACATCACCAAAAAACATTAAACTAAATCTGAAACACATACCGTCAGGAAAGGAATACACATTAATTATGGTGCTAATAAGGAATAAAGGATAAAAGTTTCAAAAGTTGCAAAATTGTGTCTGACTGAAGACAATGATAATCATATATAAAAGTTATCTTAAACAATGATATCCTAAATATAATTATTATAATTTTATCCTAACTAAGCTATAGAAACTAGGACAGAGGATTAATCACAATAGAAAAAACCAATCTAAACGGAAAGAAATGAAAACTGAACATAACTGATTACACTTGGTTATGAAATCAATTTATCCAGTTCATCTTTTAGTTTTATTTTATGAAATCAAACCAAACTCATTTCAATCAAGTTTGCATGCCTTCATTAGATCGAGGGAAGGAAGGGCATAGGTAGATATGCAAACTGTTTGCAACATCTACATGTGTGTGCATGTGACTGTGTTGTGTCTAATGTCTATCACAAGTTTGTTATAGCCAATTTGCCGTTAATTGGACCTTTGAAAAGAAAAAGTGAAGTCAGATCAGGACCAGAAACCATACAAAATATTGCACATCAAACATTAGGGGTAAGGAGCAGTTAGTGTATAAATTGCTTCATTTAAGTTGAGCTTAACTACATCTGCAGCATAAAAATTTTGCTTGCACAAATTTCAGCCGAAACAGTTCGAATATGTTTAGCAATTAAATGAGTAAGAAAAGGGAAATATCAAAAACAAAGAGACCGACAGTACCCAAGTTTACATTCACCAATAATCCCGGCAGGAGCATAGCCCGTCTTTGAAATGGTGGAATCTTTTAGCATCTCGAATGATAAGTTCTCTGCCCACAATCTTAGAAATAATTTTCAGTGCTGTGTGGCAATCACCACAAACGCGAAGGTTCTTAATCACCCTGATCGGTGAGCGAACAGAACTACTAAGGAGACCATAAGCAACAGCAAGTCTCTCACTATGGGCAAGAAGAGCTTCTTCTTTGCCTTCTTGGTCTATGTCATGCAACACAAATTTTGTCTCTGGAATATAGCCAGCTTCTTTCATTTGAGACTTCAAACCTCTAAGCAGGGCATATATCTTATCATTTTCTGGATGAGAAGTATCTCCTGCTCTATATTCATGGACTCGGCTCCTTACTTCAAGAAGATTTTTGCTTGATAATTTCTTCTTTTCTTTCTCTTTTGTCAAGTCTGAAGCTTTTACAGGTACAAGGCCAGCTTTTGATTGCTCGTTTAAACAAGAAGGATCTAGCTGCTCAACTAGTTCAGCACAACGATCCCCCAGCTCTATGTTTCCATGGATTCTACAGAGATTCATCAGTCTCTCCCATATATCAGCACTTGGCTCCATTGGCATCTTTTCAATAAATTCAAAGGCTTCATCCAAATTCCCAATACTGCCAATCATGTCTACTACACTGACAAAATGGGCCATAGATGGTACAATGCCATAATCCTTGTTCATGGATTCAAAATGCAGCATTCCCTCATCAATATCTCCCAGCATACTACATGCAGAAAAAACCCCAATGAACATCTGCCCATCAGGTTTCAGTCCCAAGTTTTTAAATTGAGTAAATAGATCAATTGAATCTTCTGCAAACCCATTCTTAGCAAGTTGCGTTATCATAGTATCCCAAGTAGTCAAATTGCGCTCTAGCATACTGTTGAAAAGATCAATTGCATTATCTACAGAACCACATTCTAAATACATCTCCAATATTTTATTATATGTGCTGACTTGGAGAGGTGACAGATGTTGCAGAACATGTCTATGCACAATTTTTGCCTCTTCAAGAGACTTGGTCTCCCCACATTGGTGCATTAATTGCAAATATCGAGGCAAATCCACAGGAATATGTAGCTTTTTCAACAAATCCAAAACTTCAACTGCTTCCTTCACTTTACCCTCCATGCAGAAATTATCTAGTTCCTCAAGTGTACCTCTATAAGAACTATCATTAGATACCTCGGCTGATTCACCATAATTGGGATTTGCATTACTTGACACGTGAGAACTAACCATTGATCTGTGTACAGTATTCAAGTTTGGAGAATACTGACCATCTTTTAGACACTGTACAGACTGTCCTGAACCTAAGTATTGTTGATGCATGTCATTACTCCCTCCTAAACGATCATTTGGTGACTGTTGAAATCGGCCAATGTTTTGATTTAGGTTCCCTCTAAGATTTTCCTGTGACTCTACAGGCCTGGATGAACTATATACATTGGGAGACTGTATCCTGTGTCCTGGTTCCTGCGTCCAACTATGTTTCTCAACAAATGCATTTGGATGCATCATAGAGCCCCACAAATTATTAACACCTACCCCAACGTTTTGCTGAATTTTCATGTCACCTTGACCAAAATAACCATTGACACTACCATTATGTCCCACCAAATTATGTACATTTTGCGTCACATTTACATGAACATCATTTGCAATCTGACCAGCTCCATAAGAAATTTGCTCTGCACTAGCACAATTATTCCAATAAGACCCACTTGGATTTGCTTGAGCAACATAATCAGGTTTTTGCTTATTCAGTAACTTATTTGAATCAACCATATTTTGTTTTTCTGGATAGAACCTAGCATGATTTTGCTGGCAAGCTAAGGAATCATCATTTTGATAACTGCCAGAAAGCTGAAAATCTGATCTCTCAGCAGCAGTGCTGATAGACCTCCATGCATTAATGCCTTTAGCACATTCCACAATGTTACGTGAGTAACATCCATTGCACAACTTTAGAAGAGAACTCCCTCCAACTAGTGATGTTCTCTTTGAAGACACTTTTAGAGACTTGACATAATCTGAAGAAAGACAAATTGAAAATATAAATAAATAAATAAAGAAAATGCAATTATAAAATGTTAAAAGAATATAAATGGATACAAAGTTTCAGTAAAACCCTAAGAACAAACAAAGGAAGACACAATAAACCAAAATTAGATCTGTAGAGCTGTAGAGATGCTATTTGGAGAAAAATGGTGCCGCGGCCAAGAATTTCTCTGATGAGTTGTATATAGGATGTGCATCGATAGGTTTCACATAAAACCAATTTAAATCCATTAATAAGGTGATTGTATGGATTAGATTTCAAAATCAATCCACTTCTTTTCTTCAAAACTTGTTTGGTTTAAACCAAACTGGTTCAAAACCAATTTTAAATTCTGTTTTGATTCAAATTCAGATTTGATTCAAACTGGTTCAAATTCAGTTTTTGCCAAATCTGGTTTTAAATCCAGTTTCTCAACAAAAACTGGTTTTCAATCCGATATTTTAGCCAAAACCTATTCTAATTTCAGTTTTTCAAGCATAACGGGTTTTAAATACAAATTCTTTTAGCTAAAACCAGTTTTATAACCAGTTATGAACCAAATCCAGTTACTAAACCTCTTTTGAGCCTTTTAGTTCTGAGCTTGTAATTACAATAAGTTTCTAGAGTCATAATCTGTTTTGAAAAAGCATGGGCTGAATTTAAACCAGTAGCACAATTAATTCTCAACAATAATTCTGCCACCAATGTTATATAAAGGTGAAAAACTTATGCTGGGTCACCCACATGCTGCATTGTAGAGTCTGCCTTTTGATTTTGCTAAACCTCAAATTTCAATACTCTGAACTGAAACTGTACATATATCCGCCAAATTCCAAAACTAATGACTTTTATACCTCTAGTTTGGGTGTTTCCATGTTGGCTCAAATCTAATGCATAATTAAATATTTGCAGTGAAGGAAATTAATTTAACCGTGTGTGCCATGTGCTCTCCATAGAGGTTGTAGAGTTCTTGACATGCTAATAATCTTATTGTTTAAGGCTTCTACATGGAAAACTAAATTTAAAAATTGAAATATGAAAGTAATTATAAAGCTTGTACTCTTGTCTTTATAGGTGATTAATTGTGGAGAGATGGTGTTTATAGCATATCATTAGCATAGGCCACAGTAGCTCATAGATAATATATAACTGAGGATGCTATTCAGCTATAAGTAGAGGATTACTATCATGCTAAAATTGTTTAATTTGATTCATAACTTCCATACTCCATAATCACTTGCTTCATTGCAGTGATAGTGTGAAAAATAAATACATTGGGTAATCAGCTCAGAAGTAAGATACCCACTATTTGATTGGATTAATTCAGATTTAGGCTCACTTCATCCAGATGTTGGCATATGAATTATGATCTTAACAAGTTTCCTTGTAATTTGTTGCTATGCCAATCACAACTAAATAAACATATTTACAAGCAAGACAGAGTTTTCAAGATGTAAAATGGAAAGTAATGCTAACAGGTTAATATTGATTGTTATCAAGCAGAAACAGGAAATTTGAATGTAGTCATGGTTGATAAAGAATTCGTTAATAAATAACTAAAGGATTAGTTGACAGGGGGAGCTACAAATGGGTTGAGTGAGGAAATGTTAGGTATCAAGTATAGACTATAGAGAGGAGAACTGAAAGTATTCAGTGTCATTTACAAATTCAGATCTGATATGGGGGTCAGAATGTCGGATCCTGAAGTAAGGTAGTGTTTACAGCAGAAACTAGAAAAGGAAAGCAGGAAAACAAGTCCTTAACTCCTTAAATAAGATTAACGTAGATTTGACAACTATAAAGTGAATCATGATAATTCAACTCTGACATTTAATATCACCATTGAGAAAATAAGAATATACAAAACAAAGTTCAAGTTTGTAGGTGTAAAATTTCCAAACCTACATACCAGTTGATAACTCCAGTTCATCATGTGGTTTTTCACAAGACAGTCCCGCTTCAGATTCACAGTTGCTTCCATGTATCTCCAGCACCGACAACCCATCTTCCAAATCATCGTCCTTGTCTTTCATGATACTAGCACCAGCTCGCGAGGAATGTTCACGCCTGCAAGTAGAAAATTTTGGGGAAGCACGGCTTGTGTAGTGAAATGTGTTTATTGACATTAATCTACCATATGTTATTTGACGAGACTGATCGACACCAGCCTCTTTTTCCGCACAAATGGTTGGCACTAACTTGACCCAAGAAGCACGATAAGCTCCTGTATTAAGTCCTTGGCTCCTACAATAAACAGAAAACATAAAACAGGTGCCAAAGAAAAGTTTGATACAAGAACAAAACCAACAGTTTCTAAAAACTATTCCCCTAATCACACTTAACACCCTAATTCATAAAACTAGGCAAATTTCACTATATATTAAACATAAATCGAATATTGTTCATGAATTTATACACTATGATCAAAGAAAGGAGGTTTCAGTGTTTGTTGATGAAGAGGTTTGTATCAATCAAAATCTTGAAAATCTAAATCAGAATGAAATAGAGTTAGTTAGTTACCTGAGACGGAGAGAAGTTCGATGAAGAGCCCACATGGTAAGAGCAGTGCAGAACAGAGAAGGAGAAATAACAGAGAGAGATGGTTTGATAATGGTAACTGGAAATGGACAATGCGCAGGCTTAAACCCTAAAAACTAAAACTGTCTGAGTGAGATGCAACTAGTGATGAGTTTTGAGTAATTGGGGATATAAAAAAATTGATTTCCTATCATATGTTAAAGGATGTTAAAAAAATTTAAAATTTATATTCAAAATTAAAGAATTTATTGACGGAAAAACTACACGCTCTTGCAAATTTTATTGCCAAACTTTTTGCAAGAAATAGTCGGAGCAAACTACATAGAAAATTAAATTCATTTAAAAAATTAATTTGCTCACAACATATTAATTTTAAAAAGTAAATAATCAATTTCTTTGAAAAAAATAAAATAAATTTAAATTAATTTACAAAATATAAAATATTTTTTGTTTAATTAAAAATTAAGTTAATTAAAAATAAAATTAAGTATTATTTAATTTATTTATAACCAAAATCTTGTCCATTTCAATTAAACATTTTCTATACTAAATTAAATTTATAAATTATAAATTTATTATAATTTATTTTTAATTAAAATATTTTATAATTAATAAAATCTTTTCATTAATTATTTAGTTTTTATTTTGAAAAAGGATATATTTAAATCCAATTTTAATAATTATTTAGCTACTTGATTTGTTTTAATTATGGAAGCTAATTATATAATTTGTTTTGTTGAATTGAAATGTGTTTAAAATGGTTCTTATAATATAAACTAATTACCTTTTACAATTTGAAGTTATGGACTATTTTTTTTTAAAATCAAATAACAATTCTTTTATTTTTCTCTTTCTTTTTCACCCTAATTATATTGTCTTCTCTCTCAGCCTCACTAAAAGTCTAACTATTTTCAAATTCCAAGCAAGGTTTATAATAGTAAATATGAATGTCATTAAGTGCAAGGTATCAAATTCTATTTGTAGACAAAATTGATAAGTGCTTTTAACATTTTACTTGAAAAAATTCAACAAATTCCAAATTTAAACCAGAAACTTCCAAGGTTTATAATAGTAAATATGAATGTCATTATTCTTTTGATTTGTGCTGAGTCCTATTTTATATTTTTTCTATTTATTATTCTTGGATCTTGAAATAGGTTAAAGAGTAAGATAAAAGTAATGATGGGGTTTCAAGCTATTATTTCATAATGATACTTTATCATTTGTCATGATATAGATATTTTTTTTTTCAATTTAAACTTAATCTTTCTAAGTTTACTTTTTTATTTGTTAGCATTTCAATATCTAAACATGGTAAGCTCAATGAGAAATCTTGAAGATGTTTATCTTTTGTTATTTTTTAGCTAATTGTTCATTATTTTTTTTAGAAACTACAAGTTTTGATTTATTTCTCTTTGACTGAAAAATATTATACATAGTATTTATATTTGAATACTCCTAAAGAGTTACATTGAAACTATTGTCTCACTAAGATATAAATTATATTTTGATACAAAAGACATGCAAAATATTTCAACATTATTGGATATAGATACATCTTGATGTAAAATTAACAAATATTTGACTTCGAAAAGTTGAAGTGTTTTTAGAATTTGCTCAAAAACATTTGTTGAGATGTTGATTATCACCCAAAATTTCAATAACTAAGGCAATTGAATCATTAGGATAGGTGTCTTTGGATTCCATAAAATTAAAATTAAAAAAATCATAAATTAGAATGTATTATTATGAATTCTTTATTTAAGAATAAGTAATAAAGTGCCAAATGTTGAAGTCAAGGCTAGAATTTAGCATGTACTTATATAAGAAGTTTTTTTTTATTGAACTCAAATGTAGAAAAATAACTTGATAAAAGCCAAGATTTTGGTTTGATTCCAACCAAACCCACTAGTAAATGAAATATAATTTTGTTAATATAAATTGTTGTTGGACTTAGTGGTTTTTCACTAGCTTTACATGGAAGCAAGACTTCGTTTAATAACTTTCATCCAGCATAAAAGAAAAAGAAGTATATGTTATATCAATTATCAAATTTAGAACACATTTTTAGAGTTGTTTCTAAGTGATAATATATTTATGTTTCCTTTATTTAATTAGGATAACAAATTGTTAGTGGGTCTAAGCTTGCATCTAATTAGTAGTATAGTAATATTATATATAATAATTAGTTAAAAGAGAAGTGAACATTTAACACAAGATAAATTAAGGTGATAATAAAATGCATTTTGCAAACAAGATTTCATCTAGAATTTAACATAAATGTTTCATTATGTTCATATTACTAGTGTACTTGATCATATCAGTAAATGGACTATGAATCTTTATGTTATAAACATATTTTTTATGTGTCACAGTTTATTTTAATAAATGAGGTATTTTAAATTAAATTCTTTCTATAAAAATATGATGATACCTTTATAATAAATACAACTTTGTATGACATCAAGTAAATGACTTATTTGTGAGAACTTATTACTATTCTTATAGTATCCTTAACCAAGTATTATTATTAGGACAATATCATACATTTAGACTAGTGTGTGAGTGGACCTGTATAAAATTATTGTACAATTCATCAAGAAGTTAAATGTTAAACACTTTGTTGTTGCTTGTTCTTGAGCATGTTGTAGCTTGCAAATTCAATAGTAGATTTAGTTATATATTTAGATTAAAAATGGTTTTGTGTAAAACAATTAAATATAAAACTACTTCTATTTTAAAAAAATAACATATCTAACATCAATTTCACCTATAAAACTAAATTTAAAACTAGTTTTGCCATAAAAATGAAATTTAAATATGGATTTACAAAAAAAAAATTGGATTTAAAACCTTTTTGAACCAATAGTAATTTAAATTGATTTTAAACTAAACTAAATTAAATAAAAAAAATAGAGTAAAATGTTTTAAATTCAATCCATACAAATTCATATAATTGGACTTAAAATAGATTTAAATTGGATTTGTACCAATCTAATCCATGAACAATCCTAATAAACATGTGTCAATAGAATTAAGTCATGCGAGTCAATACAATATTTAGCTTTAACTTATTTGAAGTTTCTTAAAGTTTCAGCTTTGAAAAATGAGATATTTATTTAGTGTTGGAAAATAATACAATTATATTTCAAAACAAATTATTAATTATTATTTTTATTTCAGTATTCAAATTTAATTATTATTATTACTAATATTTATTTAAAGTCTTAAAACTATTTTGAAAAAGTCATCATAAATGTTGAAGTACTAAGTAAGTTGTTGAGTCACTTCTACTTATTTTTCTAATAAGAAGGTTTTATGTGTACGTGGGCAATTACACATAACATTTACGTGTATTTTGGAAGATTTTTTATTATTTCAAAATAATTTTTTAGGACAATGTTCTACATGTCTCAAACTACTTTTATGTAGTTATTTCAGGTCAATTTACAACAATCTCAAGGATTATGACTCTGAATTAACAAACAATATGCCAATAACCACAAAATTGACAAACTCAACGTGAATTCATTTACATCAATTCTTCTTGCAGTCAACTATACAAAGCCTTTCCTAAACGTGTCAAAGATAGAGATGTTTCAAGGAAAAAACTTTAAACAATGGCACGAGAATGTCTATTATTTTTTAACCTGCACAATGTAGCTCATGCTCTCACACAACCAAAATCAGATTCATCTGCTATCCCAAAATTGTTGGAAGACTGGACTTATGCTAACAAAGTTTAGACATACAATTCTTTATACATTATCTAATAAATTGTTTGATATCTATTGTTCATATAAGGAAACCAACAAAATTTGAGGATGTTGGAAGAGAAAAGTTCATCATCAGACACTACTATAAGTGGGAAATGAACGATGAAGAAGACATCAAGACTCATATTAATGAATATCACAAGCTACTAGAAGACATGAAAGCTGAGAAGATTATACTTCTTGAGAATTTTATCGTTGGACTACTAATTGATAAATTATTAGAATCTTGGAAGGATTATAATAATTGTCTCTAACCAAACTTATCACCCACATTATCATTGAGGACACAAATAGGAAGGAACTCAAGACTACAAGGGCAAAGACATTGATATCAAGGGAAAACATGATACAAGCCAATAAGAAAATGTACTACAATAAATCTAACCAAAGGTCTTATTACAATAAACCTTATTCCCCAAAAGTGAATAATCTCACTTTCAAAATTAGTGGAGGAAATTGTTTTATTTGTGGCAAAATAGGTCATCGTGTTACTCAATACAGACACAAAAAGATAAGTGACAATCCTCCAAAACCAAATACAAATTTGGTTAAACAAGATGACGTTATAGTTGCAGTAATTTCTCAAGCATTAATAATGACTTATGTGATTGAATAGCAAACTTTGGGATTACCAGACACATCTATGCAAACAAAAACATGTTTACCTTCTACAATTTAGTAGGAAATGGAGAAGAACAAATGTATCTTATTGACTCAAGGACTGTTGAAGTTCATGGAAAAGGAAAGGTTCTTCTGAAGCTCACATCTAGCAAGGTCCTAACTCTCAACAAAGTGCTTTATATGCCTAGTATTAGGGCAACTTAATTTCTATTAGTTTACTAGGGAAGGTTATAATCAAGGTGTCTTTTGAATCTGATAAAATTGTAATGACAAAAAATAATATGTTTGTGAGAAAAAGGTTATTGTAAGGGACTCTTTGTACTCAATGTTGCTCATGTTATCAATAAAAATATTTTTTCTTCGATTTATTTGATTGACTTTATGGATATTAATTTGATATGCTAGATTAGGACATGTTAGTAGTGCTTGTTATATAAAGAAAATGCAATATCATGATTTGATTTCTGGTTTGAGTAATGCATGCTTAAGCAAATGTGTAATATGTGTGAACTCAAAAATAACTAAAAGGTTCTACTTACCCATAGAAAGAAACACAAAACTAATAGAATTAATTCATTATAATTTGAGAGATTTAAAGCAAACTATGACTAAAGGTGGTAAAAAATATTATGTGACCTTTATTGATGATTTTTCTAGATATACCAAGGTGCATTTGTTTGGAAACAAATATGAGGCTTTTAATATGTTTATTTTATATAGAGCATAAGTGAAAAA